TGCCTTTGCTTTGATGTTATGCTATGCTATGCTATGATATGCTGCGCTATGCTATGCTATGCTAGGCTATGCTAGGCTAGGCTATGCTGCGTTATGCTAGGTGATGCTATGCTAGGGTATGCTAAACTGCGCTATGTTATGCTAGGTTATGGTATGCTGTGATATGCTGCGCTATGCTATGCTACGCTGCGCTATGCTATGTTATGATATGTTGCGCTATGCTAGACTGTCATATGATATGACATGTTGCGCTATGTTATGTTATGCTATACTATGCTGCGCTATGTTATGCTATGCTATGATGCGCTATGTTATGATATGATATGCTATGCTGCGCTATGCTATGCCATGATATGCAATGCCACGCTGCGCTGTGCTATGCTAAGCTAAGCTATGCTATGCCATGTTATGCTATGCTGCGCTATGCTATGCTATGGTATGATATGCTATGCGGCGCTGTGTTATGCTGCGCTATGATATGCTATGATGTGGTATGTTATGATATGCTATGATATGCTATGGTATGCTATGGTAATACTGCAGTGCGCTAAGCTAAGCTAAGCTGGGCTAAGCTAAGCTAGGCTAGGCTTGGCTAAGCTAAGCTAAACTAAGCTATGCGAAGCTAAGCTAAGCTAGGCTAGGCTAGGCTAGGCTAAACTAAGCTAAGCTAAGTTAAGCTAGGCTAAGCTAAGATGAGCTAAGCAAAGCTAAGCTAAGGGGACGTAGCTGGGGGAACCGCGGGGCGGATACTGGGGGAACCGCCCCGGGCGCTTTCCACTGCCCGGCCTTTTTAAGCCCAGAGAGTAAGAACCCTTCTAGGCAGAGCCTAGGTAGGGAAAGAAGCTCAATCACCAGTTCCTAAACCAGCACACGTATGTTACAGCCCCGGGGCATCACGGCGCAAGCAGCTAGCTCGTTTGAACCAAAGCTGGTCTGAGCCGAGATTGGACTTGAGTGGATTAGTAAGAGGAGGAGGATGAAGGGGATGATGATGAGGAGGAGGAGGAGGGCGAGCAGAAAGGCCAGAGCCCTTTTGGGTGCCTCTCGGAGTCTCTTCGGTTTTCTTTTGGGAGCTTCTTGGAGTCATCTTGGGGTGTCTTAGGGGGTCTCTTGGGAGCCTCTTGCAGCGTCTTGGGTGCTTCTGGGATGTCCCTTGGAGCCTTTTGGGGGTCTCTTGGGAGCCTCTTGGGGGCATCTTGGGGCCTCTTTGGGCCTCCTGGGCACCTCTTGGGGCCGTCTTGGGGCACCCATGGGAGCCTCGGGGGCCATCTTGGGGCCATCTTGGAAGAGATCGATCAAATGAGGGGGCTCCTGAATTATTTAGGGCACCCCCAGGAGGCCAACATGTGACCAACACCCTAAGAAAATCAATGATTTGGACTGTCTCGTCGAGGCCTCTTGGGACGTCTTGGGTGCATCTGGTGGGCCTCTTGGGGCGTAACGGGAGTCTCTTGGGAGCCTCTTGGAGCCTCCCGAGCACCTCTTGGGGCCGTCTTGACGCACCCTTGGGAGCCTCGGGGGCCATCTTGGGGCCATATTGGAGGAGGTCGATCAAATGAGCGGGGCTCCTTCATCATGGTCCCCCCCAGGAGGCCAAATTGTAGTCAAAACCTTCGTAACATCAATGATGTTGGCCTTCTCGCCGGGGCCTCTTGGGGCGTCTTGGGTGCCTCTGGTGGGCCTCTCGGGGCGTCTTGGGGGTCTCTTGAGAGCCTCTTGGGGGCATCTTGGGGGCCTCTTGGGGGCCTCTTGGGGCCTCCTGGACACTCCTTTGAGCCGTCTTGGGGCACCCTTGGGAGCCTCGGGGGCCATCTTGCTGCGGGAGGGAGGGTTGCTGCCACGCTGCGTGGCGCCTCAAGGCCCGCAAAAGGCCCGCGCGCTCCCGCACGTCTTGGAGCCATGTAGGAGAAGGTCGATCAAAGTAGGGGAGCTCCGTAAGCGTCGCCCTCCCCTCCCCCAGGAGGCCAAAGTTGGGCCAAAACCTGTTTGGAAAACCAATGATTTCAGCTTCCTCGCCGAGCCCAACTCGGACGCTCCAACGACCCGCGCCCCCCCCGCCCGTCCAGACCCGGGGTGGGTGGAGGGGGGGAGTGTAAGACCCTCCCCGAAGGGGAAGAAGAGGGTGTTAGAATAAGAAACTTTCTAAACCACGCACGCCCTAGAAGCCTGGTGGGATTGGGGGAAGACGCAAGGAGAGGACGCGGAGGATCACACTATCCCAGGAGGAGGATCTTGTTGCAGGACGCTGCAGCTTCTACCTCCGAGGGGCTACGCCAAGTTGTCCCTCTCCGCCAGGCGATCTCAGCGGCCTCCCCGAGTCTGGCCGGATCCCCGCCCGCGGCTCCTGCAGGATTGCCCAAGCCACCACGCGAACGTTGTCGCTCCCAGACGTCTCAGGGCGAGTGACGACCGGGTTGAAATTGATGGAGGCGGCCTGTGCTCCCTGGTGCCTTGAACTCCTCGGAGGCTCTCGGGCCGGACGACCAGGCAGGATAGGGAAGGGGAGGGTCACGAAATCTGCTGCGTGCAGCTGGTTTCGGCCCCGCCGTTGGGCTAATCTATCGGCAGATGGGCGCCTCGCGAGGCGCCGGTGCAACCCAGCCATGTGAGGTGATTATCTAACCTACCCTTCGCTATCCCACCCTTTCGTCCGCCCCGAGGCTCGGGGGGCTCGCAAGGCAGCCCGCAGAGGTCCTGTGGTGGGACCAGAAACATTGCACAGCAGTGCTTTCCCAATCAGCGCTTGCGCTCATGAGATCCTGAAGGAGATTGACAGGGTAAGCGCCAGATTCCTGCCGACTTCGGTGGGCGGCGGGGTTCCCAGTTCCCGGTCAACCATTACGGGTTCACGATTCCAGAGTCTTGGTTCTGGATTCCCAGCTCTGGGTTTTGGTGACAGTTTCCAAATGGTTCTGGTGGTCGACGGGTTCCCCAAGCCTTTGGGGTAAAGAGCGGCCAGCATTTACGCATACATAGAGAGAGAGACAGAGAGAGAGAGAGATAAAGAGAGAGAGAGAGAGAGAAAAGAGAGAGAGAGGGAGAGAAAGAGAGAGAGAGAGAGACAGAAAGAGAGAGAGAGAGAACAAACAAAAAAAGAGTGAGAAAGAGAAACACGTACATAAAGTGATAAACTATATACATTCAAGAGAGCGGAGAATTTAAAGACAGCAGGAGGAGTTGGGAGCAGAAGGAGTAGGGGAAGCAGACAGACGGTTCCGACTTTCACTTCTGCGGTTTGAGCGGTCACGCGCGCACAGCCCACGATGACTGGGCAGAAGGGGGAAGGGGGGAGGGGGGACTGGGCCAAATTGCGCAAACGCACCGACCCATCCACAAACTGCGGCCCCAACTTGCGCAAACCTACCAAACCACCCACCTGCTCTCCAATTGTTTTCGCAATGGGCGCAAACCTACAAATCCTCCCACCCACCGTTTTCCCAAAGTGCGCAAAGGTGGATTAGCACACACCTTCCCACCAATCCTCCCATCTCCCACAACACACTGAGCATGCACAGTACGCACGCAACGCACGCTTCTATCAACTATCAACATTGTACACAATTCAGACAACATACAAAGACCAGACGATCCGTGGCCATCCTGGTTTGAGGTTGAAAGCAGCAGGCTAGACTCGAGCTTGGAATACACTAAGGTGGGAATGCTTCGCAAACGTCAACATGCAGACGCCAGCTGAACAAACAGTTGCGCAAGTGCCAAAAGATGTGCCCTCTCTCACGCACAAGGGGATGCACGCTGAGGCTCCGCTGCATACGTGCAACCTCGAGCCATCTACTATGGCTGAGCCATTACCCTTGGAATGTGCAGGTGTCCCACGCAACTTCTTGGCGTTTCAAAGCTTGGTGTCTGGTTTCGATGTGTGGGAAATTGTGCATGTGTTCGGCACCGAAGGTGATATAGGGCTCGCGTGTGCGCTCACATTCGCGACCGTGTATATATATACACACCTATACGACCACCCTCCGGGTGATAAGGAGGTTGTTGGGGGGAGAGGGGGGAACCAACATTTGACTAAATCGATCTCCCTATCGATCTCACTCAACGGGGCACCACGGGACACCACGGGACACTTGTCGATCTCATTATCGATCTCACTATCGATCTCACTCAACGGGACACCCCGGGACACCTCGGGACACCGCGGGACACCTCTCGATCCCACTATCGGTCTCACTATCGATCTCATCATCGATCTCACTCCACGGGACACCACGGGACACCTCGGGACACCACGTCGATATCACTATCGATCCCACTATCGATCTCATTATCGAGCTCACTCAACGGGACACCACGGGACACCACGGGACACCTGTCGATCTCATTATCGATCTCACTATCGATTTCACTTTTTGGGATACCACGGGACACCTCGGGACACCACGTCGATATCACTATCGATCCCACTATCGATCTCATTATCGAGCTCACTCAACGGGACACCACGGGACACCATGGGACACCTGTCGATCTCATTATCGGTCTCACTATCGATCTCACTTTTTGGGACACCACGGGACACCTCGGGACACCACATCGATCTCAGTGTCGATCTCACTATCGATCTGACGATCGATTTCACTATCGATCACACTCAACGGGACACCACGGGACACCACGGGGCACCGCGGGACACCGCGAGCCACCGCCGGACGGGCGGGCGGGGGAGAATCATTTGTCTTGACTTCGCCCTAGCAACGGCGGACACCACGGGACACCACGGGACACCGCGGGACACCGCGAGCCAACGCGGGACGGGCGGGCGGGAGGGGGATAATCATTTGTCTTGACTTCGCCCTAGCAACGGCGGGTTCATTCCTCTTGCGCACCCACGCAGCTTCGCCTCGCCCGCACGCACGACACGAAGAAAACGAAACGATTTCCCTGTTGGGGGTCTCCGTTCCACTGCGATCTCACCCCCCAACCCCCGATACACACATATATATATATATATATATATATATATATATATATATATCCGTAGCCATTTTGCCTCAAGTCCTTTGGACCAAAGCACTTCCTTGCTTTCCACCGTTTATAAGCTTACACTTATCGACGCCACTGGCTGCGCAACTCTGGCGAGCATGCGGCGATGGCTGCCCCTCGCCGTCGCGTGCCTGCCCGGGCAGGCCTCTACAGTCGGCCCTGGACCCGCGGCGGGGCGCCGCGCCGCGCGCCGACGCCGCGGAGGCCGCGGGGAGGGACGGCCGCCGCGGCAGCCGGCCAGCCTTCGTCGCGGAGGCTCCGCGGCGGGCGTCTCTCGCGGAGAAGGCCCCGCAGGCGTTGAGGCGCAGCGTCCCCTCGAGCCGCGCCAGGGCGCGGAGGCCAGAGCACGCCGGGCCTCGGAGGCCTAACCTCCTGGAACGAGGCCGCGGCGGGCACCACGCTGCTCGAGTTTGGCGACCGGGGATGGTATCCTCTGGGGGTTGAGCTCGCGGTTGGCGATTGGATCGAGGCGGGACTCCCACCTCGATCCAACCATGAAATCATGACTCCCGTGGGAGCGTCGGAAATTCATGAAATCTCAAGTCTCGATATGGCCGCGGGCACCATCGAGTTGATGACCCCGTGGGCCCAGACGCACACTGCAGGCTCAATTGTCAGTTGTCCACCAACACCTGCACCAACGATGGTTGTACTCGACGACCCGCACGTGACCAACCTGCAGGGCGAACGCTTCGACATCCGCATGCCGTCGTCCGATTGCGTTTTACTCCGCGTGCCGTTCAGCAACGAGGACCCGGAGCAGCTCAAGCTGAGCGTCAGCCTGGACACCGACGGCGTGAGCCCGAGTGGGCTCTACGTCAAGTCGGTCGCCTTGAGCGGCTCGCTGCTCGACCATCAGGTTGTGCATGCCCGTCCGCGCACGCGCAATGCCGCTGGGTCCAGCCAGGCAGGGGACAAGACGTGGACTGACTTCTCATTGCAGGTGGGCAACTCGATCTGGAGAGACTTCCACTTCCCGAAATCCGAGGGCGTGGGCGCCGACATCCCGGGCGCGAGCGTCGGCGTCCTGACCCCCCGCTTCTCAGGAGCGAAATAAGGACGTACACGTACATGAGTCCACGCTGGTTTCGAGAGCACGCGTTGCCCGAATGTTTTCTATCACGCGGCCAGTGTCGCGGATCGAAGGGCCGTGTTCATGTACATAGCTGGGCGCGTACGTCCTTTGTGGGCTCCCTAGCTTCGTGTGGAGGGAGGAATTCGGGCAGCGCGTCGAGGCGTAGGGCGTCGAGCTCCGCGTCGGCAGGGTGGATCGGCCAGTCGTAGTCACCATCTCGCAGGCCAAGCACCAGGCCCCGAACACTGCGATTGAGCGTTTCGGCGACCTAGGCCACAGGAGGCTCGGGGGCGCCCTCGGCACCGAGGGCCGCAGCGCATCGCTGGAGGAGCCCAGTCTCAACTGCCGCCGCGAGCGACGCCTGAACCCCTCCCACAAGCAGGAGCGAGACACCGACTGGGACAGCGTTGAGGCGGAGAGGGCGCCGTTGTCGTCTATCATCAGCGCGTCGTGGCAGTGAGCGGCCACGGCCGTGGCCGAGCGTGACCCTGGTGGTGCTCGGCCGGGCAGCTGGTCTGGGGTTGCCCGCTTCCTTTTTACATATATATATATATATATATACATACATATGGATTATGCCGTTGTTGCTCAGCGTTCAGCAATGATGCGACATTCCATCGAAAGCTGTCTCATCCCATGTTTGTCGATCCTATTGCGCGTGTATGCGCTTTGCAGAAAGCTAGCGGTCGGCCTACGCGTGTAGCGCATTGTACAAACAAGGTCAGAACAGGTGACCGCGAGTATAAGAAAGAGGTCACATATCGAATGGCCTTCGGCCCATCCCGCCACCGTGCCTGGGTTGTGGGCCATAGGCCTTTAGGATGTTCATTGGGATGTCGCGGGAGGCGCTCGGGGACCTCAGGGGAGCCGTTTTGATGCCTCTTGGGGGCCGTTTTGGAGCCTCTTAGGGCGTCTTCGGGGCCTTTGGGGGGTCTCTCGGGGCCTTTGGTTGGCCTCCCTGGGGCCTCCTGGGGGCTTTTTTGGGCAGAAGATTTGAATTTTCGGCTCGTGTTCCCCTCTTGGGCTTTTTTTGTCGGGCTGACCAGGACTCCGAACGAAACTTCGGTGAATTTTGTTATGTCCGGGGTTGCGTAGTTTGTTGTTCGATGTCATTCTGCGCGGTTTTCCATTGGCGTTGTGGGATGGTCTTTGCGATGCCGCAGCGCATGGTCGGGCCCCGGCTCGCTTGGGCCCCGTGATAGGGACCGCCATGCTGGCGCGTTTGAAAAACTGGCGGAGGCTTCGGAAACACTTTGTACAATTAACGGTCGCTTGCCGAAATCGTGCAAGAATCTGTTCGTGGCACGGCACGCCCTCGAGGTCAACGTTGCACTGGGAGGCCGCGTGGCGTTTCGAGCGATGGCGCGGCTTCGACACAGCATACTCCTGGATCGAACGAGACTTTCTCATTCTCGGTGTTTCTCTTGCGCACTTACTCTATCCTCCTCGTTTTTGGGTCCCCCCTCTCGCTCCCGCGGACGCGGTTCGCTCAAGCATTGTGCTTCGAAGTCGTCGTCGTCATCATCCCTTTCGCGTTGAAGGTAGGGAATAGCGCGCCTCAGTCGCGCGCCTCGAGCGCGTTGCGAGCCCCAGCAACCCTCGAAACTGGCGACAATCTCGCAGATCGCAGCCCCCCAGGGATGGCGAGGCCTCATATGAAGCTGGGTAGGACGTCACTCCGCTGACCACCCCAGCAGCCATCGAAAGTGGGGACAGCTTCGCAGATCGCAGCCCCCCGAGGGATGGTGAGGTCTCATCTGAATCTGGGCAAGACCTCGCTCCACTCGACCCCCCCAGCAGCTCTCGAAAATGGCGACAGGATCGGAGATGGTAGCCCCGCAGGGATGGCGAGATCTCATCTGAACCTGGGTAAGACATGGTAAGACGTCACTCCGCTGGATCCTCCAGCAGCCCACGATAATGCCGACAGTTTCGCAGATCGCAGCCCCACAGTGATGGCGAGGTCTCATCTGAATCTGGGTAAGACGTCACTCCCCTGGTCCCCCCAGCACCCTTCGAAACTGGCTGCAGTTTGGCAGATCGCAGCCCCGCAGGGATGGCGAGGTTTCATCTGAACCTGGGTAGGACGTCGCTCCGCTGGACCCACAGCGGCCCCCAGAGGTGGCGGCAGTTTCGCAGATCGCAGCCCCGCAGGGATGGCGAGGTCTCATTGGAATCGAGGTAGAACGTCACTCCGCTGGACCCCCAGCAGCCCTCGAAATTGGCGACCGTTTCGCAGATCGCAGCCCCACAGGGGTGGCGAGGTTTCATCTGAATCTGGGTAAGACGTCACTCCGCTGGACCCCCAGCAGTCCTCGAAAGTGGAGACACTTTGGCAAATCGCAGCCCCCAGGGATGGCGAGGTATGATTTTAATCAGGGTGGGATGTCACTCCGCTGACCACCCCAGCAGCCTTCGGAAGTGGCGACAGTTTAGCAGGTTAGAGCCCCGCAGGGATGGCGAGGCCTCATCTGAATCTGGGTAAAACGTCATTCCGATGCACCCCCAGCAGCCTTCGAAAGTGGGTACAGTTTCGCAGATCGCAGCCCCACAGTGATGGCGAGGTCTCATCTGGATCTGGGTAAGACGTTACTCCGCCGGGCCCTCCGGCAGCCGTCGAAACTGGCGACCGTTTCGCAGATCGCAGCCCCACAGTGATGGCGAGGTCTCATCTGGATCTGGGTAAGACGTCACCCCGCTGCAGCCCCCAGCAACCCTCGAAAGTGGCGACAGTTTCGCAGATCGCAGCCCCCCAGGGATGGCGAGGTCCCATCTGAACCTGGGCAGCAGCCGTCGAGACTGGCGGCAGTTCCGCAGATCGCAGCCCCCCAGGGATGACGAGGCCTCATATGAATCTGGGGAGGACGTCACTCCGCTGACCACCCCAGCAGCCTTCGAAAGTGGCGACAGTTTAGCAGTTTAGAGCCCCGCAGGGATGGCGAGGCCTCATCTGAGTCTGGGTAAGACGCCATCCCGTTGTACCCCCCAGCAGCCTTCGAAAGTGGGTACAACTTCGCAGATCGCAGCCCCACAGTGATGGCGAGGTCTCATCTGGATCTGGGTAAGACGTTACTCCTCCGCGCCCTCCGGCAGCCGTCGAAACTGGCGACCGTTCCGCAGATCGCAGCCCCCCAGGGATGGCGATGCCTCATATGAATCTGGGTAGGACGTCGCTCCGCTGACCACCCCAGCAGCCTTCGAAAGTGTCGACAGTTTAGCAGGTTAGACCCCCGCGGGGATAGCGAGGCCTCATCTGAATCTGGGTAAGACGCCATCCCGCTGTACCCCCCAGCAGCCTTCGAAAGTGGGGACAGTTTCGCAGATCGCAGTCCCACAGTGATGGCGAGGTCTCATCTGGATCTGGGTAAGACGTTACTCCGCCGGGCCCTCCGGCAGCCGTCGAAACTGGCGACCGTTTCGCAGATCGCAGCCCCACAGGGATGGCGAGGTCTCATCTGGATCTGCGTAAGACGTCGCTCCGCTGGACCCCCAGCAGCCCTCGAAAGTGGCGACCGTTTCGCAGATGGCAGCCCCCCAGGGATGGCGAGGTCCCATTTGAACCTGGGCAGCAGCCGTCGAGACTGGCGGCAGTTCCGCAGATCGCAGCCCCCCAGGGATGGCGAGGCCTCATATGAATCTGGGTAGGACGTCACTCCGCTGACCACCCCAGCAGCCTTCGAAAGTGGCGACAGTTTAGCAGCTTAGAGCCCTGCAGGGATGGCGAGGCCTCATCTGATTCTGGGTAAGACGCCATCCCGCTGTACCCCCCAGCAGCCCTCGAAAGTGGCCACAGTTCCGCAGATCGCTGCCCTCCGGGGATGGTCAGGTAGGAGGGAGGCAAGCTGGCACGCAGGAAGGAGCCAGGTGAAAGGCAGGAGAGAAGGGGAGAGGAGGCGGGAGGCGGAGAAGGAGGAGACGCGCGGGCAGTGCTGTATTCCAAACGAGCGCTCGACGCAGGAGTGTTGTGAAAAAGAGGCCCCGTGCGGCCCCTAAGAGGCTTCCATGAGGCTTTCCGATCCGGCCCCCCAAAAATTCGCTTAGGGTAAATGCATTTTCTGCATTTTCGCTTTTCGAGCCTTCACGGCGTCCACGACGGCCCAGGAGGCACCCAGGATGGCCCCATGACGGCCCAAGAGATCCCCCCAAGGAGGCCCCAAGACGGCCCAAGGGAACCCTTGGGACCGCCGTCGGATCCCCAAAGCCGTAAGACCCCCCCCCCGCAGGTACGAAATAGACCCTTAGAAACTGCAAGCAGCCACCGAGAGGCTTCAGAGGGCTTCACAGCTTCTTCCAAGAGACCCCCGAGGGCTTACCCAACGGACACCAGCAGGCATCCGAGAGATCTCTGGCCCACAACCCACCCACGGTGGCGGGTCGGGCGCGTGGCAGCTCAGGACGGTCGAAGAAGAAGACCCCCAGACCTGTGAGATGGAAGATTGTCGATGGATCTTCCTACTCGCGGCCTCGCGAGGGGCGTAGCTCTGAGGCCAGGGGCCCTAGTTCGAAATAACACGGCAGCGGTGGGCAAGGGATGCAACACAGAACCCTTCGGGAGTGAGCTTGAATCACACTCCTCCTAGTCGCCGTCTCGGTCGGTCGTGGCCTCTGACAGGCTTGAACGGGGACTAAAGCAAACAAGTCATTCGCCGGCAAAAACCACGAAGATAAGCAAGCAAACGGCTTGCATTGCATAACATAGCAATGGCCAGGGTTCGATCGCGATGCGGCAAAACCCAAAAATAATATAGCCATGTTCTCAATCTACTAGGTGTGATCGTCATCGCAACAAAAACTGTGCGCACTGAAACGAATGAAGTTTCCAAACGAACGCGGTGTTACGTGTGGATCTTTATCCGGGTGTAAAAGCTGCGATTCGGAATACATAAATCTTGACCTGGCGTATGGTATTGGCAACGATGCGGAATCCATAAATCTTGTCTGATCGGCCAGACTGCCGTCAAACCAAGCGGGGGTCACCTTTTCTTCGGCTTCGCCGGTTTGTCCGCTAAATCTGATCCCCGCCAAACATTTCTGCCTGTGAGCTTCCACCAACGGCCCTTGAAGTCATTCATCACACTCTCCGGGAAGATCGTGAAATCCGGATTTCCAAAATGATAACGCCGAAGCAGCCACGAAGTGTGCTTCTTGCAGGTCTTGCAAGTGATGTATACACTATGCGGGTTGTGGCCGATGACCACATCATGATGAGGAATGACAGTCACGCAGCTGATCATGTCACTCGGCTGCACCGTCGGGGAAGATCCGCTCCACGACACAACACTGGCTGATGAGGCTGAAACGGAACTCGATGCACTCGTCACGGAAACCACGGTTGGTGATGCAGGGGCCGACTTCCCCTGCGACTTTACTGATCTTAATCGTCCAGATCCCCGTGCTGATGCTGCAGTGTACGGTGATGGCGGTGCGCTGGCTGGTGGTGGTTCTGTCAGTACCTGTGGCGGCGGCGGCTGCTGAATCGCAGCCGATGCTACTGAACTTGATGCCTGTGCGCTGCTGAATACGTCCGCGTGGGACATCGTGATGTCACCATCGTGGTCACGATCCTCTGGAATCGTGGGTGGTATGTTGCGGCGTCGGCCGAGCATGCGGCCGTCCCATCCAGGGTGCTCACCCATGGCCTTCGCCTCGGCGGCGCTCTCCTCGTTGGCGATCGCGTTGTTCTGCCTCAGGATCGTCCAGAGCGTCATGAAGATGCCGAAACCGATAGTCACGCCGAGGACCAGCGTGAACGTCAACAGGCCACTATAGAAGCTATAGTCCGGCATAGTCGGCGTGGGCGTAGGCTGTCCCTTGACCTTTCCGAGGCAG